TTCTCTATTTGCAGGGTGAGGTTGTGTACATCTACCTTCCCTAGACTTTGCAGTGACAGGAGCCTTGTGTATTGGACTGCCCTTTTTTATTGTATAGGAAGGTCTACTGTTCAACTTTTGTTCCCATTTTGCCATGAAGGCTTGGGTATTTACATATGGATTCGGTTAAGAGGGGCCTCGAAAGAGGCTAAGGGATGTATTTATGGCAGCTGAAACGTCGATATGCGGGAAGTAGACTTGCCATATCATCAGAGGATAGACGCTTTTTTCCCTTTGCTTGCCTGGCTTCATTCCCTTGACATGGAGAAGGTTAAGAGGGGCCTTCGAGAAAAAAAGGGAAGATGTATACTCCCTTTAACTCGAGTGCTATTAGGTCCATTTCTGAGATGGAGAACATGGGTGGAATGGAAGATACTAATGCGGGAAACATTGGTTTGACAATTGAGGGATGAGGGTGATGTTAGCTGAAGCGTGTGTAGAATGATTGTCTATCTATCCTAGTTCTGAACTAGGTCATGGCATAGTGCCTCAAATTGGAACTCTCAGGTCATGACGGATCCCTTATTTCAATGTACCAAGCCACTCGCTTTCTAGGTACTTAGAGGGTACGTATTGATTGGTGGCTACAATGACCTTGTGGAGATATTTTGGTTTCTACTTTTTGAGGCCAGGGACACCAATTTATCTGACCATGAGTCACATTTTTGTAAGGATGGTTAGTGGAGACATAGTTATCAGAATTTCACTAAATCTCTGATGACCCCTGATCTGAGTACACCGATCCTAAAAGGGGCTGGTTCGCAATCCAATCACAAATATGTATGATCCCAAATTATAATATTAATCCTAAATTGATTTGGTTTGGACCATGTTGTACAAATATAAAATACATATTAATTGATTTCGTGAATATTGATTTATAATTATATATTATTTTAGATAATAGAAAATCAGCACAAATGTAAAATAAATTTTAACTAATTTAGTGTTTATGGATATTTTATGATATGATTTTATATAGTAGTGAAAATGATCTAACTAAGAGTTCCAAAAACGAATTGCAAACCAAAACACTGTATCAGCTAAGCTTACATCCATTTTACCGCGTACCTAATAAAGTGTTTTATCACGTAGTTGTATCCATACCACGTACTAAAGTAATCTACGATCCTGGTAACATTGAGTGGAGGGCCACGTACTAATTGTTGCACAATGACTACCCCAGACAATAGATGACCGCGTAGTAGTGTTTCATACAACCAAACAAGGATATAGGATTACATTGGATATTCGTTCAATAATATGGCAGATAGTGAGAAGCCACTCAAGATTGCCTTATCACACTACACCATTCTGATTTCAGTGTGGAGCCTCAGAAGGTGTCCCATGAAGGAGAGCAAGAGCAGAGGGCAATCTACATAGTTGTAGTGTACTGTAGCCTCGTGCCATTTTGTAGTGTGGTCAGGCCACATTTAAGAATCTTTGAGAATTCCTAGGTCTTACGATGTAGATGATCTTAGAGTCCCATTTTCATCATGCAAGATATTCCTAGATGGTCACTAATCATTCTAGGACTAGAGCCATTGTTGAGTTGCGATAACTATGCCATATTTGATATATGCATGACTCTGACCGGCAATTGGTAATTTTAAGATCCTCTTTGTGGTTGTCATCTTTATTTGGAAGTTGGGCACCTCAAATGCCTAAATGGTGCATTCCCTAGGAGACGCATTGGATTTCCCTTTGCATTTCGCCCCTTTCAGTATTGTCTTTTCCTTAAAATTAATTTCACCATCATCTTTATTTGATGAATCTCTTTTTCACTTGCCTTTTATCATGACAACACTGTCAGTACAAGTGCATTATTGAGATAAACTAGTCAGAAAAAAATAATATTTGTGTTTCTTTTCTTTTATTGTTTTACCAGGGTCCCATGTAGATCTGGTATATGTACAACTCCTATGCAGTTCACGTCTTCCCAGTTGATTGCAAGTGAGATCTTTCCTGTTTCTGTTGTGAAGGCACTTCTCTACCCTGGGGCCATTGCAAGTGGCCTCATTCATAACATGACTGTTCCAAGCTGGGGTAATCTTTTAAATATCTATAATTTGACTGAAGTGAAGGAGGCCCCTGCAGTAACTGATCTACAGCGTTTGGAGGTTTGGTTTTGTAACATCTCCCTCTTCCTTGTTTTTGCTCCAATCTGATTAAATGTTCTGATATATAATTTGACCTCGTCATTTACTGTTACTATCAGTTGGCAACTATTTTTGGACCTGACAAATAGTCACACTAATATGGCTAGAGTTGAATATGTATTAGATAATTTTGAGCTGGCAGCATCTGTGCTATTGTCATATAATTTTCACTCCTATTAGCCATTGATTTCTACCTGTGCTTGCATTTTCATTTATATTTAATATCTGAATCAGTAGTAAAATTGTTTTTCGATTTATTGTTATCATTGGTTTGTCAATTCTTATATCCCATAAATCTTTTGCTCCATTAGCTCGCAAGACTTTAAATATATCAGGTCTGAACAATACCCTGAGAGATCTCGAAATATACACTGATTATAATTCCTAGTTTGGAGTTAGGTTGTTTAACCTAGTTTAGGTGAACTTGTAGCTACTGGGATATAAATGCAACATCCTTTTAGTAATTTCAAGAAAGCATACTTCAGAATTAGTTACTATGCACATCTCTCTTTTAAAATTTGCTTTTCTTTAAGTTTGGGCTGCCAAAATTTACATGTGAACATAACATGTTTCCATGACCATTATTAAGAAATCCAAAATCATCTAAAGATTCAAAATGGCAGCTATCCCTTTTTAGTATCATTTTGTACATCATTTTATAGGACCCTAGATTCTTCCAAAACGCTTCTCTTGGACGACTTTTTTTTTTGCTTATGCTTATGGTGCCATTGAGTCCTGCTTCTATTTTCCGTTTTCTAGATTCTGCATTTTGATTCATTCTCCAAATAATTTCAGTTGCTTTTTACTTGTTATGCTTTTGCTCCCCCCTTACCTTGTATGAATGATGCTGAATGATTGGAAGTCACTTACAAATATTTGATATTGTTGTGCCTTATAGGCTTGGGAAATCATACCTGTCAAACTTGTGAACACTGTTTTTTTATTTGCTCGAAACTTGAAATCTTGATTGTTTACTGATTGTTGGTTTCGAGATAGTGTTCTTGTGCATGGTGGTCCCTTTGTGCACTTGTTCTGATTTTATCCATCACTAATCGTGTTCGTTTGACCAGGTTCTTGCAGGAAGCTACTTCTCTGTGGCAGGAGCAATAATTGGAATTCTAAAACCTGGGAGGATGAGCATGTTTGGGACACTACTGATTATTTGGGGCCTTGTCAAGGAAGGGATCCTTGGAAAGCCAGTGAATACTGACACTTCCAAATCTGTTTTCGTCTACCCAACAATGCTGATTGCCCTGGTGTGTGCCTTAACTTCTGTAAAGTACGACGTGAAGAAGGTTATGAGAAGTGCTCCAGCCAGACCCATTGCAAAACCTCTGCAGAGCTCTTCAAAATCTAAGCTGAAATGAGTATGGTTATGACACTTAAAGACTAGAAATGAATCTCATTCCTGATCTTTTTCCGTATTGTCAGGGATAGTGAGTTCAAGCTGTGTATGTTCTTCCAAAATTTACTCCAATACTTACTGATTTCCAGCAGAAACAGAAAATCATACAATTTGTCTTGAGTTTACACTTTGATCGGTTGGGGTTTGGTAAAACTTTTTGTTATCTGGTATGCAAAGCTTCCGTCTTGCCATTTTGTGAATCATCAAGGCTCTAGAAACTTTTGGAGACAAATCTTAGTAACTAGGATTGAAGTCTTACACTCCCATCCTCGGCAAGTTAACAAAATGGTGCTCAAACTAAATGATGGACCACTCATACTTTATTTCATTTGTTGAAATTTTTACCCTTATACCCGTTATAGTGGGCACATATATTAATTGAATGACCAGACATAAAACATTTGCGGTTTATTGCTACCAAGCAAAATTTGTGTTGTTGTACACTTGTATGACATAATTTATTGTACTGAAAGAGAATTGTGTCTATTCCTTAATGTCGCAAAACAATGAAGGGGTTCAAAAACATGCATGCAGTTTTGACTTAAGCAGGTTCACCATTGGTGAATGCATCACCACACAGCCAACAATCTCCATTGATGAGATGTTCTTATCTCACAGACTAATATCATGTACAAAGTACACATTTCCTCTATATGTCAGTGACCTGTTCTTAGCCCCAACACACCACAAATGGCCTTGCAGCTCCAAAACTCCTTTCATTCCAGCCATTTCCCACACAAACTTGAAGAGCACAAGAGCCTTGTTCAATTGCTTCACCCCACACCAAACCATATTCTCCTGATCTGATGTCAAAATTTTCCCCATACACAAACAAAAACCATTCCCTCGACCACACTCATAAACCCCACCACAAAGTTCAACTTCAATATCTCTAACACTGCCATAGAGATAGTACAACAGAAGTGTAAACAAGCATCTAGAAGAGTGACCCAATGTCTTTGTGAGCTTCTTCTGCACTAAACTCTCTTGATGCCTATTCTCCCTGTACCCAATATTTTTATCTATCAAAACATCCTTGATCTGGGAAAGCCCTTCTTTGATCACCTCGAGCTTCGAAACAAATAAAAGAAACTCCTTTTCATCTCTCAAGCAATTTATAAGGTCATTGAACATCTCAAGAACATCTTCCCATTTAGGGGAAGCGGGTGAATCTGCAACTTTTGCAGGTGCAAGGCGCATCCATGACACTGAATCAGGGTCATAAGAAATTGCCTTGTCTAAGAATTTTAGACAACTAGTGACAATTTGCTGACCCATTATAATCCCTTTTGGCGGGCACGGGTGATTTAGAGAATCCATGTTAGATTTCAATCCATTTAATACCTCTTCAAGTGCACCAGTCCATACCCGATGCTGTGTAACCTGAGGGCAAATTGTGAGACGAACTAACTTCCTCTGTTGAGCAGAAACATTCAAAAAGTTACTCACTTTGGTGAGTGAATTCACAGACATTGGTTCTCTTTCGCTTGATCTACTGAAGCAGAGAGGTGGTCTGCATTTTGCATCAGCAAATGAAGCTGAAATATTCTTCTTGAGTGTTTCCTGCACCGATGGACACCCAATAAAGTCCCTGGCAAAGGACTTAAACGTGTGCATTTTGAGCTCAAGACGCTCATCGGCGACTGTCGAATGATCATTTATATTAATTAGCCTTCCATCAATCAAGTCCACATCTTTTAACAAGAGGGTTAATTTTGCTAGCTTTGGAAATGCCTTTTGGTACCATTCGAAAGGTAAAGGGTCTTCATGAGATTCTTCTGAGCAGTGATAGGACACCATACTCAAACCAAAAACTCTGTTTTGATTGGATCTCAGATTCTTTGATCCACAGGGGAAGTATTGCACACGTCTATAGGCCATTATTAACACGCCAAAGCAACCAAAAATTGTGCGACTCCCATCAGCAAATCTTCTCAGTGCTTGCTTCTCAGATTCCTGCAAGTGGGTTTTCAGTTTTCCAGTCTGAAACTAATCCTGCAACATCAAAGCCCAAATTAAAGGTTAACGCGTCGGGGCTGTGATTCTTTGATACATTTTATCAAACACATGTTGGGCATTTTCTTCTCCAAATAATTGAAACCATTGATAAAGCCAAGGGAGAATGAAAGTCACAGATCATACTGCCAGCTTTATTTATTTTTTTTGGGTACTCTGGATATGTGCCAGTCCACAGACTCCCAGGAGTATTCCTCCTCAATACCGCACAACTACTTGGCAGGTATTTACGTTGGGGTCGAAACTAAGGGGTTCTTTGGGCGTTGAAGACTAGATTTAGCCCCTACGACGTATAATAATTATGGAGGCTCAAACCCATGCATTAAAAGAGAGAATTTGAGTTCTTACCCACCGGCCCAACAGGTCGTTGGTGCCAGCTTTATTTCTGCAACTGAAAAAAGCGTCTATGCAAGCACAAAGAAGGTCTGTTGGACGAATTGCTTATGAAGTTCTGGTTGGGTTAATTTCTTAATGAAAATTAAAGCAAGAGTGGTTGGTTTTTTTTGATGGACAAACAAGAAATGTAGAGCTATAGAGATAGCACATGGAGGGCACTTGCCTTAGCTCAACATTCGTTTCCTGAATGTATTGGGCGTTGGCAATGCGTGCTGTTGCTAAATTCTATTGTTTAAATTTTGGGGTGAGTTATTAAACGTTCCTGCCATTGGCTTGTGGGTTAGACTCATAATTGAGTCGAATTACTTCAAATCGTCTTAATAAGGCTCGATTTGAACTCGAACAATTTTTGTTTGAGCTCGAGCTCGCAAAACTCAGCTCATTTATATTTAAAATAGTCGAATTACTCGGGCTCGACTTGAGTTCAATTTATTTTGGGCTCAGTTCAGGTTCAGCTAATTTTCTAAACTAGTCAGAGCTTAAATAATTTTTTAAATTCATTTAAAAAAATAAGCTCGACAAATTTGGTTGATTCAAACTCACAAAACTCGACTCGATTATAAACCCTAGTCACAAATTCCTAACAAATTAAGGCTATGATGTTCTCTCTCATAGAGCATGAGGCTATTTACGTAATTTAGACACCATCAAATGTATAAGCCACGATTTCCTTTCTTTTTTTGGGGGAGGTTTGACATGTTAATTAAGAGTGTCAATTCAATTGTAGAGTGGTGCAATCATCATGAATATTTATCAATGTTGATCAAATCTATTTAATCAATAGTGTTTGATGTCTTCGCACTTGTTCAATCTATTTATTAATTGTGTTACATTTGGATTAAATTGTATACTTTTGAGTGGGGGATAGGACTTGACGTGCTAATTAAGAGAGTTAATTGAGTTTATATTATATTCGAATTGTGTTGAATATTAATTAACTTTAATTCATAAAATTAATTAATCTTATCAGTTATATTGAGATTAATTAGACATGTTCATTACTTATTTCACATTCGGATAGAAATACATAGTTTGTGAATCTGAAAATTGAAAACTCTCCTTAATCTCTCAACCAAATTCTCCACTCATATTCCCCTTGCAAAAATAACTATTCGCTCGATTCAAGCACAAGCAAATGAAGTGAAATTTTTTTCTAACTCTACAAGGACTCTTACGATATTGGTATTAAGATAAAAAAAAAAAAAAAAAGAAAAAAATATAAATTTTCTCCATAGAACATTACTAATACAGACTAGTCATGCATGTATTGTATTATTTATGCTTTTAAATCTACTCGTTTATTGTTTTATTTTTAGATTAGATTTTCACGTAAAAAACTCCATAAGAATGTCATAGTGATATCCGAACCACTAAGGATACCTTGGTAATTTTACCAAAAAACTCAGAGTTAGTGCAATTTATGAGTTATTTTGGTAATTTTCTCCCAATGCATGTCCAATTGTCATAGCACACTTTTTTTTCCTCCTACAAGGCTCTATGGTCGATTGTTCTCCTTTAAATAATGTGTCTCGACTCCCCCTTCGAGATTAGCTCAAACTCGACTCCATTTTAATCTCACAAGAATCTAGGTTTGAATAAGTTTTTTGTTTGTAAAAATAATTCTTATTTTATTGTTAGAAAAAAACCCATATTTAAAAGATGAACAACTCAAACTTATTCTCAAATAACTCCAAATCATGTACACTTTTATTTCTCTCATCTCTTTTCTTGTAGGTTTTTGATAAATTTGAACTTCTAGGATTTGATTTGATGGTGGATTATACGAATTTTGGAATATTTTTGCTGAGAAAATTATTGTTTTAGAATTGATAATTAAATTCTAGTGTTTAGTATAAAATTTTTGCACAAAAAATTGATTGATTTTAGCTCGAATACTCATAAGTTTCTTTTGAGCTGAGCTGAGTTTAGGCAAAACTTTCAACTTGGAAGTTGAACTCATTTGGAGTTCAAACTCGATTACTTACAAACCAAACCCATAATCTAGTGCGACAAGTCTGACCCGATTAACACCCTTGTTGATCAAACGCAACTTATAGTCTCAAAAAGGCACTGTGAAAACAGAAAAACAAGCTAATTAATAACAAAAATTATGGTGCAAATGCTAGAAGAGCTAAAAAAAATTAAGCATTGTGATATGACCAACCATCAAACCTCAAATATATGCAAGCCACACCTTTTTAGAGGATTGCACAACCTTCGCAGTGGCAAAATCGCCGACTGTACTTGTGAAATCCGAGCATGCATATATAGTATGTAAATAAAAATTTATTTATTTTTTAAAAAATATTAAAATTAAAATTTTGAATTTAAGATAATTACAGAAATGCCATTGCACATTTCTTCTAAGCAGCTGCCAGGCAGTGGGAGAAGGTTTCCCATCATTCTTTAACACTCCAGAAGGCTTGAAGGGCTGCTGAAGGCCTCTATTGAGTATTTGGATCAGATATAATCGTTTGGAGGAGAGAGAAAGTGAGGAGAGAATTTAGAGAGAGAGAGAGAAAGTGTGAAGATCAAATTTTATAAGAAAGA